CAGCCAGAGGGCTCTTTCTCTCTTTCTACAGTCAATCCTGCAGTATTTCCTGTGCTTTTAGGGTTGTTGCCTGTAGACAGGGTGAAATCCAAACCCCTCTCAACTCTCAGCAAGACCCTGCCCCATAGACTGGCCAAGCCTCACCCTTGCTTTGACATACGTCTCCTTTGTGATCTTTCAACATGCCCTCACTCCATCTCGGGGCCTCGGCACTGCCTCTTTTTTCTACTTGGACTCTTCATTACCCACTTTTAGAAAGACCTCAACTCCCACGTCACCACCTCCAAACAGCTTCCCTCACTGCTTTCTCTCTCCTCCTCCACCCCATAAACATCTTGTGGCTCCCTTTTCCCCTGTTTATTTCCCCCATAGCACTTGTGATCTGAAAAAAATCCAGTGAATTCACTGTCTCCCCTACTTCCTGCTGGAAGACCTAAGTACCCAATGCCTGGCAGACAGTAGACACTCAATAAATACCAAATAAGTGAAATAGATAAGGAAACTGAGGCACAGGGAATCTAAAGCTTGCCTCAGGCCACATGCTCATTAAGTGACAGATTTGTTGTTGATGTTAATCCTCACCCAAGGATTTTTCCCATTGATTTATTAGAGAGTGAAAGGGAGGGGAAGAGACAAAGAGAGAAACATCACACCAATGTGAGAGAGACACATCAATTGATTGCCTCCTCTAAGTGCCCCAACCAGGGCTAGGGATCCAACCTGCAACCAGAGCATGTGCTCTTGGCCCAGAATTAAACCTGAGACCCTTCAGTCCACAGGCCAATGCCCTATCCACTGAGCCAAACCAGTTAGGGTTAAGTGACAGATTTAAACCCAGGCCATCTGATAATAGAATCCATGCTCTAAACCCCACAGTTCAGACTCCCATGGGAACCTTGTCTGCCCCACGTATTAGAAGAGGAGGAGGACTGGGGAGCAGTGGAGCAAAGAGCAGTTTCAAGATGACACATCCTAACCAGGAGCTCCTTTTCCCAGAAGGACTTTGCTGGAAAGAAAAACTGCACAACTGAGCTCCAAGGGCCGGGTCCCTTATTTCTGAGTTTCCGGGACCTGCCAAGTGGGGGAGAACCCTCCCACATGTCTGGCTGTGGCCCAGCAAGCTGTGGACACAGGGCTGACCCTGTTATAAGAAGTCACTTGTGCTGAGAATGTTCTCTGTGCTTGGCACTTTGCTTCAAGCTTTACCTGCATTGATGCTCTGTGAAGTATAAAGTTCCAGAGCCCACTTTGCATGTGGGCCAAATGAGGTCTGGAGAGGGCAGCTGCATGCCCAAGATCACACATCTGGAGAGCAGTAGGCCTGGAGTCCAAATACAGCCCAGGCTTGCTGTAGATTCTGAGGCTCTCAGGCTGTCTAACTTCCTGTGAGCCTAGAACCAGGCCTCCAGAAAGAATGACCCAGATGTTTGTCAATCAGCGCATTTCTTTTTCCTTTTGGCATCTAGATTTGGTTTCATTTTTAAAACAAAGCTATAGTAACCATCAATGTTGGCATTGAAGAGAACACACGCAGATTTAGCAAGAGGGGCCTGACTCACTATGCTTTCACAACCAGGATCTGGACGGGTTTGTGGAAGGGCCACTTCTGTTGTAAAGGAAACTGAGACTCAAAGGGGCCCAGAGCCACAAAGGGCAAGACGGAGAGGCTTGGATGCCAAGAGTTTATAAATGAGAGGGAAGCTGGCAGAGCTCTACCCACTCCTCCCTAGGCAGGCTCAGGATCCAAATGAATCTCTGATTTCTTTGGCAACTACTGTTTTTTTCCAGAAGATGGGATGGTCCAATACTCTGTGTATGAATCTTGGCTCTGCCCCTTCTAAGCTGTATGCCCCTGGACAAGTGACTCCCCCTCTTAGCCGTAGTTTTTCTATAAAATGGGCAGGTTGGATTGTTGTACACGAATGCAATAGTCTAAGGCTATTAAGGCATTTACACACAGTCAGCTTAGGCCAATATGTCCAGGATAAGTAAATTAAATGAAGGAGGGGGCTCCACAGGAATGGGCTGGAGGATATCAGCAAGATGGAGGGTGGGGAGTAAGAGACAGAGGAACTGGTCCCCAGGGAAAAGGGGTGGCTCTCCGAAGAGACTGTCAATGGGAGTTGGGGGCACATGGGCCATCAGCTATTTATAGATTTCCCTCTGTCCAAGGAGACATGTTGGCAGGAAGAAAAGTCCTGCAGGAGCCAGACCAGCCTGGCTGCTTTCTTTGGGCTTGGACCATCCTTCCTCAGCTCAAATGAGAAGAGGAGGTGTTGCTCCTCCCCATGACCAGCACCCGGGGGCCTGGTTTGCCCTGGTGAAATTCTCCTCCTCCTACTCTGCCTGCGCCTCCTGTAACCTGTGCTCCCTAGCCCGGGGCTTCTCAGATGGGCATAAGGAAGGGCGCCAAGTGTCTGCAGGCTTCAACATGCTGCACACCCACAGGTGCCCCTGGGTGAACCACAACAGCAGCAGCAGCAAACACCTATTGAATGCTTATTACATGCCAGGGACTATTCTAAGCCCTTGAACAACCCATGATCACTTATTTAATCCCCACTGCTAGGAGGGAGGTGCTATTGCCACCTGTCTCACAGGTGAAGAAGCCAAGGCAGAGGGGTTCATGTCATGCTTAAAGGCACAGGGCTAGAAAGTCAGAGGTGAAATTGGAACCCAGGTAGTTTGGGTCCACAGTCCACCTCTGGAATGGCCACAGCACCTGGCCACTGGCACATGCATGGCTCTGCATCTTGTCACCCCCTGCACACAAGCGCACGCATGTACATGCACCTGTCCCAGGACCACCACACCAACAACCAACAATAGCTGCTGTCACACACGTCTCAGGAAGCTGTTGGGATCCTAAGCAAGACTTGTCCTGGGGCTACCTTCCGTGTTCAGGAGGAAACACAGGGGCCTGGGTTTCTGCCTGCAGGCAAAAGGCAGGCAGGAAAACGCTGCACAGGGCTTCAAGGAGAGGAGCTGGCTAGTAGGCCACTGAGAGCTGCCTGTAGAGGGCAGTGCATGCCAGCGTGAGGCCAGCCACCATGCCCTCAGCCTGTCCTGTCTGCTGTGTAACTCCCTCCAGACTCGGACTACCCCCCCTCCAGCCCCAAACCCTCATTTGTTCTTTCTTCCCTTCAAAAATACATGTTCCAGTCAGGCACTTACTCCACGCCTTTCTACCAGACAGGATCACTGGATCACACATAAATGAACAAATTATAGCCGACACCACCATGCCCCTATCATCCCAAGCCTAAGGTGTGAGTGCTGGTGGAGGCAGATGCTTGATTGAGCAATGGGAAAGAGGGGGGCAGGGGGAAAAGAAAGGCTGCCAGGATAAAACAGTAGATTTTAAGAATCACCACGCAAACCATCTTTTCATTGGGCTCCAAAGTGTTTTTGGAGGTGCCCAGCTGCTCTCTCCCCTAAATAAAAGTGAGGAAGGCATGCCTCCTCCGGAGTTTTCCATCTGACAGTCACTGCAAATCAGAGCCCTCCCCAGCCTCAGTTTCTCTGGCGTAGGAGGCTGAGCCAAGGCCTCGGGGGACCTGGCCGGCCCCGCCCGGTTTCTGAGGAACTCGACCGGCATTGGAGATGCTCCTCCTGAGCTACCAACGGGTTCCTCCGAAGCCTGTGGTCAGGCCGCCACTTCCTGGGAAGCCCGAGACCAGACCAGCTGCAGGCGGGGAGTGAGGGGGAGGCTGCGAGGCTCCCGAACTACAGGGGAAGGGCACGGCTGGAGTAGTCCTGAGAGGTCCGAGGCCGGACCTCCAGATAGGGTGGGGAGGTCTGGCTGGAGCAGAGCAGAAGATAGAGACCTGCCGCGATGGGGACTGAGGCACCTGACGAGGAGAGGGCGAGTCAGGGCTAGTCCAGAGTATCCTAAAAGGTTTAGACTGCAGAAATCTGCGGCTGAAGGCAGAGGGACAAAATAGGGGCTCTAGTTCCGAAAGGGGCGTCCCAGAAGTGGCCAAGGAGTTCCGGGAAGAGGCCAAGGATCTTGATGGTGGGGTTCCTGGGAAAGGTGCGAGATTAGGTCAGGACAAGGGTCCTCCCAGGGGCGCGTCTCTCGAGTGTTCAAAAGATCGAGCCGGAGAAGCAGGAGAAGCCTCCCCCTGAGAAAAAGAAACCGAAAGTGGCGGAAGATTGGGGCCTGCAAGGGGTGGAGTCTGGGGGGGGGCGGAGCGATAGCGCGGGGCCCCGCCCCAATCCGATTTAAGACTGGTGCAGGGGCGGGCGCGGAGCAGAGCGAGCTGCGGCCGTGGCAGCTGCACGGCTCCCGGCCCCGGAGCATGCGCGAGAGCCGCCCCGGAGCCCCCCGGAGCCCCCCGCCGCCCCTCCTGCGGCGCCCCGCGCCCAGCCGCCAGGTGAGCCGGGCACTGGGCAAGGAGGCGGGAGGGAGAGGGAGTGAACGGAAAGGAAAAGGCGGCCTGGAGTCAGGCTGGCCTCGAGGACTGCGTTTTGGGGTTGCGGCCGCCACAGCCCCCGTTCCCGCCGGCCCCACCCTGGCAGCCCCCCGCGCGTGGGGTTCCCGTAGCGCAGCTTTTCTCCGGCCTTTGCCCAAATCGCCCAGACCAGGCGCCGATACCTGGCTTGGCCAGCAGGCGGCGAGCCGAGGACCATCCCGCAGATGGGACAGGCTTCCCTGGCATCTCTCTCCACGCCCCCTCCGTTTACCTAAACTCTGAGAGCCTGCAGGAAGCTGGCCCCTGCCCCAGCGAGCCCCCATCGCCTGGAAGTGCTCAGAGCACCTGAAAGTCCATTTTCAAGATAAGCCCACTGAGGCTCAAAGGGGCGAGCGGTCTAGGTCCTGTACTATCAGCCACACAGCTTTAAGCCCTCTCCCTGTCAGCCCCCCCCCCCCCCGTTGCCTCGCGGCCCCTACCAGTTCTATCTGACCCAGACTCCGCTCACTGCCTGTCTCCCCCCCCCCCCCATCAGCGCACCCCCGGACGCTATGGCCCACCCCTCCGGCTGGCCCCGCGTGTAGGATGGTAGCACACAACCAGGTGGCAGCCGACAATGCAATCTCCACGGCAGCAGAGCCCCGACGGCGGCCCGAGCCTTCCTCCTCCTCCGCGCCCGCAGCCCTGGTGCGCCCGCGGCCCTGCCCCGCGGCCCCGGCTCCGGCCCCGGGCGACACACACTTCCGCACGTTCCGCTCCCACGCCGAGTACCGGCGCATCACGCACACCAGCGCGCTCCTGGACGCCTGCGGCTTCTACTGGGGGCCCCTGAGCGTGCACGGGGCGCACGAGCGGCTCCGCGCCGAGCCCGTCGGCACCTTCCTGGTGCGGGACAGTCGCCAGCGGAACTGCTTCTTCGCCCTCAGCGTGAAGATGTCCTCGGGCCCCACGAGCATCCGCGTGCACTTTCAGGCCGGCCGCTTCCACCTGGACGGCAGCCGCGAGAGCTTCGACTGCCTCTTCGAGCTGCTGGAGCACTACGTGGCGGCGCCGCGCCGCATGCTGGGGGCCCCGCTGCGCCAGCTCCGTGTGCGGCCGCTGCAGGAGCTGTGTCGCCAGCGCATCGTGGCCACCGTGGGCCGCGAGAACCTGGGGCGCATCCCCCTCAACCCTGTCCTCCGAGACTACTTGAGCTCTTTCCCCTTCCAGATCTGACTGGCTGAGCAGGAAGCATTAACTGGGGCACCTTATTATTTGTTATTATTAATTATTATTTTCTTGAAACCACGTGGGTGCCCTCCCCGCCTGGGCTTGGAGGGAGCCGGTGTGGAGGGCGAGGTCCCCTCCCCCTCTTGGCTGGAGACAAGGCTACAGACCCCTACCCAACTCTTGGGGGCTTGCTCCCCTCCTGGTGCTCCCTCTGGGTCCCCCTGGTTTTAATAGCAGCTTAATTTATCTGCATCTGGGGCCAGGACCTGAACTTGTACTTCCTACCTCTTCATGTTTACATATACCCAGTAACTTTGCACAAACCAGGGGTTGGGGGAGGGTCTCTGGCTTTTATTTTTCTGCTGTGCAGAATCCTATTTTATATTTTTTACAACCAGTTTAGGTAATAAACTTTATTATGAAAGTTTTTTTTTTTTTAAAGAAAAATGGTTTCTAGAGCGTTTGCTTTGGTCAAAGGTTTTCTTTGGTTCTGAACGGGTCAGAGGAAAGGGATCCTAAGACTGACCTGTTTGGCTGGAGGTGGTGTGTGGTCCATACTCTGTGGCTATGAACTCTGCTCAGTTCCCCCCACAGCTCGGGGGGTAGAGGAACCGGTGGTCTAGTTTTGGTATTGTATGTCTGGTTAAATGGCAGCTCATGTTTGAGCACTTAATGTGTACCAGATCCTAAGCGGAGCTTTCCCTGCTTCCATTTACTTAATCCTATTGAGACAATCCTATGAAGCGGGGCTCTTTGCCCGTTTTACATTAGAGAAAACCAGCACAGGGGCCGATCTGACTTTGGTCATTCCTGTGTCAAAGAAGACACTTGGGTTTTTCTTGACTGTACATAGAGACTCTGTCTGAAATGGATGACAGAGAGAAAACTTCATTGTGACCGCAGTAACTTCCAGAAAGGGATGAGGGCGTGCGGGCTTGATTTTTGGAAGGAGGAGTGGTACATTCTGAAATTCAGCATCAAGGGAAACGTTTTAGATGGGACGGAGGATACAGGGTTGGGCCTGACTTCCTTCTTCCTGCCCTGTTTTGTCTGGTGTACTTTTTGGTGAACACATAACTTGGAGTCAGACGAGGCTTTGTGGTCTGTGGTGGCTGGAGGGCCCTGCTGGTGGCAATTCCCTTTGCCTCTTGGGGCCTCGGCACAGGCTTCAAAAATGGGCTTGTTAGAGGAGGTGGCACCCTCAGCAGCAGGTGTCTAGGCATCAGAAAATGATGTTTTCAAGAGCCAGGGGAGGGAAGAGCTGCTCCAGGATGATTTTCTGGGTTGGCCTGCATCACCAGAAAGTCCTCATGATATGGGCTTTATGGCTACTCCTGGCATCTGACCAGCCTGATAGATAAGCCATGCTGGCAATTCAGGGCTGTGCTGCTGCACCCGGTGAATTGAGCCATTTTCAGGTATAGGGTTAAGCAGACATCGCACTTTGTTTTTAGAAGCTAGAATGGGCCTCTGCAGCCTTGGACACGCTTATAATGGAGTGTCCTAGTATTTAATAATACCTTTCAGACTCCAAAGTGCAGCATAAAATTAACTTGAAATTTGGAGCTGCCCAGGCTTGTCTTGGGATTAAATAGGCTCCAGACCTCAAGGTGAAGAATAGCCAGGAGAGAGTCAGGATCTCGGAGAGATTTGGCAATTTCATCCTTTAACAAGATGGGGTGGGAGGGAAGGGGGTGCTGTGAGGTCTCTGGCTCCAAAGAATCGCTGCTTTCTCTTCTTTTATCTACTTCCCTGTCCTTTGTTCTCTACTGTGTGGATCAAGTTCTGTCTTTGTTCTGACTTTCCCTGTCTCATACCCAGTTTGGGCAATGCCTGGAAAAAAACAACAACACAGAGATCCAAGAAGGCAGTGCCTGGGCAGACCACAAACACTTAGTGAGAACTTAGTGTGTGTAGGTCCCTGAGCTACCTTGTCCAATCCTCATAACTGGCCTGTGAGTTAGAAGCCTCTCCCCCTTTTTATAGGTGGGAAAACAGGCTCAGAGAGGCACAGGACACACAGCAAGTGGTGGAGCCAGATGTTCAAAGTTAAGACGGTATTGCCTCAGAGGCTGGGTACCACTAGGTAACAGCCTCCCACGAGGGAGGCCTAACGGTCGTGATAATAATAATAACAGCAACAGCTGCTCACATTTACATAGAGCGTTACTGTGCAGTCACCATTCCAAGCCCCTATTTGGCCTTCCCCCCGGCCTTATGATTTACTATTAACACCCCCTCATTTTACAGATGAGGAAACAGATGCTCATGTAAAGAGGGATGAATTAGAAGGTAGTTGACAATACTTTCAGGGTTTTTTTCCTACTCAAAAAAAGGTTACACACACCCATTCTCCCTATAAAACTTGGAGCAAATCAGCTAAGAATAAAAACCCCCTCTGACCACACTCCCCAGAGCTGGCCCCTTCTCTTTGTAAGTCATGAAAAGAAATACGTTACCATAGGAACAGCGGCATAAAATGACCTAAAAGTCCCCAGCGGCTGTACTCCAGGCCCCGGGTGACTGAGATCCTGTCAGACACCAGGCAGAGGAAAGGGACTGGGGGTGGCGCAGTGTGTACCACGTGGCTTCCCCAGCAGTACAGATTCTCTCCAACCTCAGCTTTATGATTCAGCAATGCTGATGTTAATTTACAAAAATGAAAAGTGAGAGGAAGGTGTGTGTGTGTGTGTGTGTGTGTGTGTGTGTGTGTGTGTGTGCGCGCGCGCGCACGGGGGAGGATGCATTGGGGGCTCAGGTACCGCTGAGGTACCCTCCCCAATGAGAGGGTGAGCTGGGCAGCCCAGGGCATACAGAATGGGAAAGGGGCGGGTTTTACCATAATGGGGACTGCCTGCAGGTACAGGAACATGCTTCAAGCCACATCAAAGCTGCCCTGAGCCTGGGACGCTGATCCCCATTTCAGAGATGAGAAAATGGAGGTACAGAGAAGTACAGTCACCTGCTCAAGGTCACACAACTCAAACAGGATAGCCAAGACCTGTACCGGGTCCATCCCTCTCTACAGACAACTGGTTTCTTAAAGACTGGGGGAGGGGAGGGAGGAATCCTGGATCCATGCATGTTCCTAGGCCTCACCTCAGCCTGCTTGATCTTCCTAAGCATAGGAGTAGATCTGCTCTTGTCCCGGAGCCAGGAAGTGGAGCACTGAGCCTCTTCCTGAGGTGATGCACATAAAGCACTTAGCATGCAACCTGGCACAGTGCATAATAAATGACAGTGGGGTCCATACAGCCCACATTCCCTAGGCACCTGCTGTGTTCCAGGCATGACTAAGCCCAAAGGGTACTTGAGGGAACAAAATTGAAAGAGTCCTGTCCCTGTTATGGAGTTCCCATTCACCGCCTCACACAGTAAATCACTAAACATGAAACTAAAGAAACAAGAACATTCCAAGTAGGGCTAGTGCTCACATGAAGACTCAGCAAGTGGTTGGATGAGGAGGGTGTGGTGGGAAGTGGCATGTTTTAGACAGGAAGGTCAGGAAGGTTCCTCTAAGGGGACACTGAAATGGTGTGTGGAATACCAGGACTGAGCCAGCCTGGGAGGCAGGCATTCCAGGCAGAAAAACAGCAGGTGCAAAGGCTACCAGTTGGGACGAGTTCAGTGCATTCCAGAAGGTTGGCCACGCTGGAGGGGACTGAATGAAGGTGAGTGGCTGGAGCCGAGTTGGACTGGGTGGGTGGTGAGCCATGGGCAGGGGCCGGAGTCCTGCAGACCATGGTAAAACGTATGGATTTGAGGTGTGGTAGGGGAACTTGGGGGTGACCTGATTTAACCTCTGGCTTCTAGCTAGAGATGGACGGAAGCAGGGAGGACCGGTGAGAGGGCGTTAGGCTTCTTGCCTTATGTGTGTACTTGTGGGGGTGAGGGGTGTTCCTTCCTGGCCTGACCCTCAGCTCCAGCCAATCAGGCCAACAGCAAGAAAGATCCAGCCACAGGAATGCTGGGATGGGGCTGAATGCTGGAACAGAGTGCGGGCTAGGCCTGGAGTGGCCAGCCCTGGGGCAGGCATCAATCAGAAACCACAAGTATGACCAGACCCCAAGCCTGGGTCTGAACAGAGAGCCTCAGGCATGGCGCCCAGGCTCCAATGAGGGGCTTCTTGGGGCAGTGTTCACCCCTGCAGGGCAGAGCAGGCCTCTACTTTGGGGAAGGAAGCAAAAGCCCTGCGAGGAGGCGGACGGGCTGGCGGACACAGGGTGGGTGTGGCCAGCGCTACCTGGAGGCTTGCTTTGCATCCCCCTCACCTGGCCTCCATCACCACCCAGACTCTCTAGGGCTCGGCTTCCAAATAATAACAGGCTTGGCCTGATTTGGGGGATTTGGGGGATGTTGGGGGGGTGGGGAGAGTAGGGGGGAGGACGACGGTGTCTCGGAATCCCTCAGACAAGGGATGAAGTTTTCAGCAAGGCAAATTCACACAGGGACAATGGTGTTCCAGGAGGGCGCTCCAACTGCGCCACCCGACCCTGGTCCTGGCCCTGGCACCTGCCAGACCGCCCTGAGGGACATGTGGGTTCCCTCCTCTACAATGACTGTTCGGCCCCAATAGGAACCCTACCAAGCAGTACACACACACCCAGTGCAGGGGATCAGGCATCGCCAAGCCCCCAGCCCCCCCAGGACTCCCGGCCGCGCTCCGCTCCGGAGAAGGCCCGCCTCCATGAGGGCCAAGGAGGCCTGCGGGCGGCCCTTCCCCACGCCTCCGGCCTCGGTTCCCCCACGTTCCCTCCTGTTCCTGGGCCTTCGCACACACTGTCCCCTCACCTCGTGCGCCGTGGGTATTTCCCAGCTGGTTCCGGGGTAAAGAGCTTAGACAAATACAAGGCGGCTTCACTGAAGTTCGAGGCCTCGCACGACTCTCCTGCTCCCGGGTGCCCGCCACGTGCTGCACGTGATGACGTCACCGCGCCCCTCTGCACGCAGCCCCCAGCCCACCCTGCCTCGGCCTCTGGGCTTCTGGCCCCTTTTGCCTCCGCGCG